TTCTTTGGTGAATTCATCTTTTATTTTCCTATATAATATTATTATTGTCTTCTTTAATTCATAGAGGAACATATGGTTTCACCAGCACGTCTACATGGCGTTCAGTTCTCCGCCAACGTTTTCACCTAGCTCCACACCTACCCTAATGCTTTCATCTCCTCTTCACATGACCTCCCCCATGTCACCCTCAAACTGACCACCAACTCACCGCCTTCCCATTTGGGTTCCACTCGAGCAATGGCCTAGTGTGTGATGTCACTTGATGGTTTGTTTTCTCAGAGTATGGCCAATCCACAACCATTTCTTCCTGCATACTTGTTGCACAATTCGTTTCTGATTGGTTCGCTCAATGAGGTACCTCCCTGTTGCTGATCTATTCTGGCCGTCTCATCTTGAGTAGTACTCAGCAAAAACAGCTATTGATGAAAGTCTGTAGGCTGTTCACAGTGCCCTTCGTGACGCGGCGCATCGCCAAGTCTCTGATCCATATATTAAGTAGCACTGACTGGATTTCACATTGGAGTTGAAAATCCACACCTTATTTTTCATGATGAGTGTGCTGCACATCTCCACACAGACTCGAGAGTAATGAAAGCTTGTCTTGCTTTCCCAATCCTCACTCTCATATACTCATCAGTTCTGTCCTCCTGTAGTTGAAACGATGCTTCCCAGGTGGGTAGGTAGGTAGTTAGGTGAAGGAGGCTGCTTCTTTCAAATTCACTCCCATTTATATCCTGATTTTTGTCTGTTGTTGTGGTTCCTGTGGTGTTGGCCAGAAGTCTTCATCACCTCTATTTTCTCTATGTTCACCTGAAGGAAGTCCTATCTTCTCTGGATGCTTCACTTGCCAACTTGTTGCTTTTCACTTGCATATCTTCCAGTTTGTGGGAAATCAGACAATATCATTGGCAAAATCCAGACCCTCCAAGATTTGTGTGGGTCCGTTTTATGTCTGTCTTCTCGTTACCTGCTGTCTATAGCATTATCTAGTCTACCGCCCGAGATCAGGACAATCATTGGAGATAGTAAGCAGTCAGCTAGCCTTGTCTTACTCCCGTCTTCACTTCGAAGGATCTCATGAGTTTCCCGTTTTGGATTACTTGGCACGCACAGTATTGTCGCACAGCTGTTGGACGAGATGTATAATTGTAGTAGTAGTGAAGTAATTTCCAAATTACCTCTTGATCGACGCTGTCAAAGGCCTTTTCAAATTCGATCAAGTTGAGGTAAGGAGCTGCTACTACATGCAAAGGTTTAATTCAACCACTATCTGATTAAACACGGTTTAATTATCTATCACCTATGAGTCGTACACAACGTGCAAAGAAAAACAGACTTCGATAATGGACACAGTTGAATCGAAAATGACTCTGTCGGTTATATTTCGGAATCAATATTATTCATAGATGAACATTGTTTTTTTCATATCTCAAGTACTAAATGCCTAACTTTCGCTATTCAACTAACAGACACACAATAGACGTTATACGAAACAGAAAAGAAAAAAGCATTTTCTGTAAGTATTTTGTATTTTTTCAATATGTGAAAATGTATAATTTGTAGGAGTAAATAAAACACAATAATATTAATAATAAAAGTAATAATCGAGAGAGAGAGCGAGAGGAAATAGCCTCGCCTCCCGCCACATTTTAAAACAGATTGAAGACAAAAATAAACGCAGTGAAGTGGGGAAGTATACTAATTGTCATCTTCATCAGTTTCGTCTACCGCCTAAAAAGTGATGAGTATGTCTCAATGTGACACGAAACAATGGAGGTGGTGGAGAAGAGAATAAAACTCGGAAGCTACAGGCAGTAAGACACGTGCACCCTGCCACCCACCAACCCACACACACACACTCAAGAGGGTGGAGAGAAGAGCATACTTTTCTTCGGGAGGAAATGCACGCAATAGACACCACTGTCAACGCCTTGGCTGCAGTATAATCAACAATAACGATATATATTGCGTGCAGTGTGTGTATGTGTAGTGTATTATATATGAGACAGAGAAAAGGTAATACCTATACGTAAATACATACATAAGTGTGAGTGGTGTGTAGGCGTGTAAGCATGTTTCTAGGACATTAAAGCAGAGGGAGGTAACAAAAAAGAGAAAATAGAAAACAGGAATAGGAATTATGCTACGCACATACACATACGCACGCCCGGTGTAAAAAAGGGAGGAAACAAGGAAAAAGTTGATTCTTCTCATTGTGAAACATACAATGACCACCATTCATCACTTTCAAATATACAACCACCACTAATTACTACTACTACTACTATTATTGATAAGCTGATTGGTATATTTCGCCCAAATGACATTAAAAACACACGCAAAGACAAAGTGTGAGAGAGACCGAAGCGATGACAACAGTGTCAATAGAACAATAAGAATACCACTCCACTCCACTCCATTCATCGCCTCTAACGCACAGACCTTTTTTGACCGACCATTATTTACTCGAACAATACAGGAATAACAATGATAATAATAATTCTGTAAAAATAAAGAGTGAATAAAAGTCAAGTAGTTATACACGGATAACTTGTTTGCTGTTTTTATACATAACAACACATGGACATGTATTCATCATTTGTTATTATTTAATAAAGCCTAGTTGTACGTGTGTGTGTGAGATGATACACAACTTTTCTCAGTGTACATGAACAAAATAACAATCGTTTAAGATCAAATAGTGATTAGTCAGTTAGTCAGTCAGTCAACCGGGAAACAAGTATAATAGTAATAATCGTAATCACGATTATTTAGCTAAAATGTGATCGCCTAAAGGAAAAATCAATATCGCTTTGACATGCATACATGGATACACACTGAAAGAAGCCTATGAATGAATAATAAAAAAACAACAACAACAAATGATAAGCAGAACCATCGTCGATAAAGTGGGCGTCGACGGTAGGGGGCGGGTGAGTGGCGGCAGCGGCGGCGGTGAAAACGATAACAATAAAACAGCATACAGACGACAAGAAGGCGGAATAACAGACAAAAGGATGAGCAAAGCGAAATTATAATAACAATAATAATAATGATAGTCAAAATAGACAACAATGACACCTTCACGTTAAAATAACTACTACCCTAGAACAAATGCTTCATTATTATTAACATTTCACTTATTCACTGAGTGAAAAATAGTGATACTACTACTACTAGCAGTAAAATTGATTCATAAAAGCGAGAGAATGATTCGGGGATCAGAAGCGGAACGCGGAATGGTAAAATATACATTAGAACAACAACATAGGTTAAGCGTTTATTCGCTTTTTTTTTGATAACGAAATTGTTTTTTGCTGTTTTTTTTCACCTGGACAAGAGACCAACAACAACAATAACAAAAATGCCAAACAATATACACACAGTAGTAGTAGTAGTTGTTCTTGTCGTCATTGTCATTGTCGTAATAGCAGTAGGCAAAACAGATCGATTAACATTGGGGGAGGGGGGAGGGGGCAGAGGGGAAACACACCAACAACAAAAAGGATAATATAACTACTGACTAGGTGTGTGTGTTTGTAGGTGGTACTACACATAAGTATTACAGTATAAGAGAAAAGTAGGGTAAAGCAGATGTGTTTAAAAAATAAAAAGTTAAAACTATAATAATATAATAGTGAGTGAATTTGAAAAGTTTTTTGTCAAGAGAGAGAGAGAGAGAAAACAAAATTGTTATTTGTCATTATAGCCGGCGCTTGAGTATATCAATGTCACTTACTACATATACATATATAACCCTCTTCTCTGCTACCCTGTGAGTGTACAACTACATACACACAAACACACACACACACACGAGAACGAGATCAAGGGTGGTGGATGAGCAGTACTCACCCTCGTCAAACAAAAACAAAAAAATAATAAATAAAATTCACCAACTATTTTCAAAGTAGTAAATAAGTGTGAGTATACATTTTAACGAAAGAAGAAGCAAGAAAAAGGAAGTGATGAGTGCAGGAATTTTGAGTATTATTATTATATCATTAATGTGATTATGAGCAACAATCAAATTTGACAAGGGAATGGAGCTATAAAAGAAAACGTTTACTTGCGTGCTCACACATAAGATACAAACAGACAGACAGAGAGGGCGAAAATAAGAAGATACGTTAACAATGAATAATACAATAGTAGTAATAATGATAATAACAATTAACAATACTAGTATAAAAACTGTTAAGATGATTTCATTGAATCATGGATCATGATCCGGAAAATCATTATGTGATTCTACTATTCCATTCACAAACGCATACTATCAAATATAGTGAGTGTATAATACAACAATGGTTGGTTGAAACAGGTCCATTTGAACAGATGACAGATTTTACATGATATATATTAGACAGGTGGTGGTGGGTAATACCCACAGTCGCACACAGTGTCTCTCTCTGTCTCTATGTGCGTGTGTGCATGTGTACATGGGAACAATGGATTATAAAATGGTAGAATAAAGTAAAAACAAAAGCAAAAGATACAAATAAAGCTTGTAATATACATAGATAGATAGATAGACAAATAGATGTTAAACATGTACACAGACCTCTTCGTCTACTTATTGTGTCTCTTCTTATAATACGAGAATTGATGTGGCAAGAAACAATTATAGGTTTTAAAAGTAAGTAGCCGTAGTAATAATAATATATATAGTAGTAGAACCAGGAGCAGTACTCAATCATCAATTAAATCAATCGAATAAAATAATATGCATACCTAATATATTATTATTATATTATCATGATTACTAATATTACTGTATACACACAATTGTAAAATGTGAAGTATATTAGTATGTTGTGGTAAGGAATAACACGTGTATTCAATATGAGTAGTACTCAAACAAAAACACAAAAGAAAACACAATTCAGTAAGGATAATATACACAAATCCATTGAATTTCTTTTTCTACTTCTCCTCTTCTTCGCCTTTATCTATATTCTCATTGGATGGTTAAGGAAGGTGTTGATATATCATAGTGATTATTTTTGTTCTCTCGCTAAATTAATCAATGGAACTAATGAACTCAAGGGTTTAGCACATCGGCAGATGAATGGATGCTGTGGAGACACAAAAATACACACACGCAAAAAAGAGATGAGAATATTTCAGTCATTGAGACAACAATATATATATGTATGTATATATATATATATATATATATATAATTAAATTAGGATACATTATTTGTTTTTAAGGAGTTGATCACCAGTTGATATCAGTAAAAGGACCATTGAAAACCAGGGAGTTCTGGGCAGCTGTTTCATCCTAGTTCGGGAATCATCGGGAGTACGCACCTACTGAATCCATCCAGTCACGTGTAAAGATGGATGGATGTCCCACCGACGACAATGGTTGGTGGTCACGCTAAATCAACGATTGGTAGAAGTTAGAATTCATGGCCTGGTCATTGAATCGGGTCCCAGTGGATGAATGGTATATGAACTTGCCTTGCAACCGGAAGGTCCTGGGTTCAAACCCTGCTGATGGGTGCGTACTGCCGATGATTTCCAAACTAGGACGACGAAACAGCTGTCCAGTACTTTCTACTGGTTTTCAATGGTTCTCTAACTGATATCAATCCGTGATCAACTCGTAAAAAACAATACTAACCCTTACAAACCAACTATATAAATTATTTGATTCAGTATTATGAAAACAAGTTTAAGTGAGTTAATTCACGCTATGCTGTTTTGAGTGGAACATGGGGTTTCAAAGTTTCAGTAACGGTGGTGCTGCTTTTTACGGGGTGGGGTAGCTAGCAGAACGCCCAACCTTGCCTCTTTAACGATCATATATATAAATATATATATATATATATATATACAACAAAAGGAACGTATTACTGTTATTAGATGATTGGACGCAATAGCCAGGACCCTCTTGCTTGACCGAAGTTTTATGTTTGTTAGCACTCACCAGTCAGAAAGGTGTATTTGTGCAATCTAGGAAGAAAAATTCATGTTTCGTTTAAGATTTGTACTCAGGTCACCCCCAGTGTTACACTACCCACCGAACTATTGGGGGCTAGCGATTGACTCCTACTGTAGGGACTGTAGTGCAAACTTTGATTGAACAATAGGTAGTAAGTAACTAGTGTCATGGAGAGTCTAGTCCTCGATGTACGTGCAGACTGACTTCTATCGGTTGATTTCTGCAATGTGGCTAGCATGCAATGTTGCCTCGTCATCACGATACACCATGAATTGTCTACACCTTACAAAAGACTAGACGTATAACACGAGTTACTACCTGCTGTTCAGTTAAATCAAAGTAAACAGATGGCTGAAATATAACCACTGGTGATGCCTAACAGTAGATTAATGAGCCTGAGAGAGACAAAAATTTTCAACATTATATATATAAATTATGAGAAGTAACAGCAATACGAGTTTATTACCAGCTCTAGGTAGATGAATTTATTCATCTATTTATTTCATTCCCTTACGTTTCCAATGGAACATAAGGCATCAAGCTAGAGAGTTTTGAAGTTTCTGTAGCAGGGGTGTTTCTTTTACTGGCTGGGGTTGCTAGCCTCGTGCCCAACCTTCCCTCTTTACTGCTCTTAATTACAGGATTAGCGAGGTTTAGGAGTGCGTCAATCGGGGATTGAATTCCAGACCACATACACCGTTGACGAGTATTCTACCGCCAAACCACCGACGCACACAAAAGATGAATAATCCATAGATAATTTAGTACAGAAAAAGACAAGTTAAATTTTTTTAAAGAAATATTTCAACTAACTTGTAATAATTCAATAGCTGTAGCTCTTTGTTCAACATCAACTTCTAAGCAACGATCAAGAAAATTAAGAAATGTACTTGATAGACGATCGCGTTCTTTAATTTCTGGTTTACCATTAGTAGCGATTAGATAAAGAGCCTGAAATGTAATAAAATTATCTTGAAATAATCAGAAAGATACCATAAATACACTAAAGATAGAGTAGATTTCGATGTAGTTGAGGTCTCTGAGCTGGTCGGAGGTTTAATTGCAAAGGTTTGGATGTAGTCCTTTAAGATGTAGGGAAATTATTTGAATTCCCCAAGTGAATGATATAACTGTATCGGCCCACAAAATCTTAGTCATGAATGGTTGCTAATTTGCATCGGTGTATTGGTCGTTTTTATTGACTTGGAATTTGACTTCTTATGTCATTTGGTTCATTTTTTATTACAGGATTGAGAGCGTGCTGACATCAGTTACAGAACCACTGGGAAACCAGCAGGGTGTACTGCACAGCTGTTTCATCCTAGCTTGGGACTCCTCACCAGTGGGTACCCACCGCCGTTTACCAAGTTACACATGAGGACAGTTAATCACCTTTGACAGAAGTTGGAATTCATGGAACATTGGTTCGAAGATCCCAGTGTCTGCTGAAAGGTTTACAAGCTTGTCTAGTAACCAAAAGATCTTAAGTTCAAACATTGGTGGGTGAGTACTGCTGAAGAGCCCCAAGCATTAGGACGAAATAGCTGCTCAGTATTGCTTGCTGGTTTCCAATGGTTCTCTAACTGACATCAATCTGTGATCAAACTTGACACAAATCCAGTCCCTACACACTAACTCTTGAAAAAAGATTATTTGCTTATCTTTTTGAACTCAGCTCCCGGAACAGATTGTCTTCTGTGTTCTGGGGTATGCGTCATAATTATCCTGTAAGAACTGATTATAATACCAATATAATTCCCTCGGCTGAAGTATGCAGAGCGAGACTGGAACGCAAGACACATTAAGTAGTCGATCAAGCGTAGTGTAGTAAGGAAAACATAAGTTGGCTCTTCAAAATTATTGAGAGCAACACACAAATGGTACAATGTGTATATGCGCGCATATGTTGACCCTCTTCCCTTCCCATTGATTTATTCTTACTGACAGAAGGGGAAAAAACGCTTCAATAGAGAGAACTCGGATATCTACAACTGTCAGGTCTATCATACAATGTATATCAGAAACTTAAGTTATCCAGGATTCAAAAATACTGTCATCCCTCCGCTTCCATTGATTACCGTCAGAGATTGCGACGAAATAAGCTTTAGTAATATTATTCGATTTTATTGAGAAATGAATTCCTGCAGTACATTACAATATGTGAATTGGATAGTTTATAATCATTCTAGATATTGTACAAATAATTTGACATATAATCAGTGATGGTCGGGTATCTGGAAAAATAAATCCCACTGGACTGCCATGATATTCCTTATCAGGATTAAGGCCATGATGTGTGTGTGTGTGTGTGGATTCAGCATAGAACTTGGGACCGAAGTGCAACAGTTCGAGTTGCCACGTTCCAAATAGCACACAAAGGTAGACAAGAAAATGAGTGAAGAGAATCAATAGAGTTTTAACAAGTATAAGAGTGAAGTAGAATGACTAATGGTAGAAAGGAATATGAAAGACTACAGAGACTGAATACATCTGCGTAAGCCATTGACAACGATTTTGAGCCATGTCACCTATTGTCTCCAGCCATTGATTCTTAGAGTCCCGAGGGTGGGCTCCAACCCGGAAGTCTGCATCTCCCTACCTGACTCAGTTTAACTGTCAAAGAAGGATTTCATGGATTGATTGATGCCATGTTTTTGTTTGGCCACCACTTACTCTTTTCCAACCTGCACCTATATCAGCTAGTAATGCCCGTCGGGGGAGACGATGGTTAGGCATGCGCAGCACGTGGCCTAACCATCTCAATCTATGTAACTTTATAGCCTCTTCGATTGATTTTCCCTCTTTGCCCAACACTCTACGCCTAATGTCAACATTACTTACCTTATTATACCACCTAACGTGAGAAAGAGATCGTAAACATCTGTGGTCAAAAACAGACAATCTCTTCATGTCTTCAACTCGTATTGGCCATGTTTCAGAGCCATAGAGAAGGACAGAGCGAACTGCTGAGCAGTACACACGTCCCTTGGTTGATAGCCGGATGTCACGCCTACGCCAGAGACGGTATAAGTTAGCGAAAGCAGCCCGAGCTTTTTGGATCCGTGCTGAGATTTCGTCGCCAATCAGTCCGTTGGTGCTGATACAACTTCCCAAATAGGTGAAGTGGTCAACATGTTCTATCACTTCACTCCCTATCACTAAGCTAGGAGTTGACGTAGTTCAGTCCTGTAGCAGTATCTTACATTTTACAGGGGCGAATCTCCATGATGATGATAATGATGTTCAGAATGACAATGAGAAGGGGGGATTAGGAGAAAAACTGTCTAAGCAACACACTGTCACTAAAATTAATCTTTCGAATTATGTGAATATATACACTCCCCTCATCAAATAATCATAGTTAAATTTTGTCAAAAAGACAACAACATGAACTTACTCGAACAGGATTTTCATTCAAATAGGGTGGTTCCCCATCAACCATTTCAATAGCCATAATACCTAATGACCAGATATCAACTTTTGGACCATATTGTTTGCGTAAAACAACTTCTGGTGCCATCCAATACGGTGTACCAACCATAGTGGAACGTTTCGTCCCATCATTACTTAATTGTGCACAGAAACCGAAATCTGTCAATTTTACAGATCCATCCATACCAAGTAGAATATTATCTGATTTGATATCACGATGAATAACACGATTGGCGTGTAGAAATTCAAGTGCATATAAAATCTGTAACGGTAGGTAATAACAAACAAAATAGAGGTTGGTATAAAGTATAAAACAGCCTGGTGTAGGTTTTCATCGGTGAATTTAAACAAATTTGTGTACAATTTCAAAAATGTTATGGCAGGGAAGAGTTTCAGCATTTTTCACCATCTCATACTTTCAAGAATAGATGGGTAGTAGTATATTTAAATCTGTAAGAAATATTTTAAGGTGATAGAGAGAACAATGTATGGGTTTCGAGTTTTTATTGGTTTGAATGTTATTTACGTGATATGTCATATTTCTGCTTGAGTATCAAGCTATTTATTTTATTCACGCATTTACGGCAGTTTAATGAATACGTGTCTTTTCGAGACAAAGTAGGTAATGCGTCCTAATGGTGACGTGCATATTCTACTGCGCTGTTTATCCATTTCACTATTCAAAATGTTGAGATATGTTGGTTACGACTACTCTTACGCATGATATTTTCTCAACAGTATAAACATCTGTGCCACGGAGAACAGTTTAGAGCCGTATCCACCAATTGTCTGAAGTCATTGATTCTTAGTATCTCGAAGACCCCCCCCCACCTCCAACCACGCAATCTGTGCCGCTCTACTTGGCTCAAATCAACTGTCATGGTTTTATAAAGCCTAACTCTTTCCCAACTCAATTATATGTTAGCTATGATTGCTTGTCGAGAAAGGCAGTGCCTTTGAATATGAAACACACGTGTTCTAGCTATCTAAAACGAGGTAGCTCTTCACAACCTCATCGGCTGATTCACTCTTCTTATCTAACACTCTACCTCTAACCTTAATATTAATATTACTCACCCTAGTATACCGTTAAACGTGGGAGATAGAATACGGACAGCTATGATCAAAGACAACTGGGCAGCCTTTTCATATCTTCTAACTTCAGTGGCCATGTCTCACAGCTATATTTAAGAAAACAATGTGAACTATTGCACAGTGCATACACGTCCTTCCTTTGGGTGCTTTACAGAGTGTGACACAACTCAAGCTTCTGCACTTCTGTGTTGAAAACAGTCAGTTAGTAAGTCAGTCACATATATATCTATTGATTGATGGAAATCAATTATACACTACAGATACCGTTGCATAGATTAGTAGTAGTAGTAATCAAAATAGTCAACTATTCGTGAAATCTCACTCCTATCCATCCGTATTCAGTAAAAAATAAATAAATAACAAATAATACTCAGCTTGATAACATGCGCTTTAAGTAATTCTATTCAGTAATCTCTAGATAGCACTGAAAAACAAAATGAATCAGACAGAAAGAATATCTAATCTGGAGGAATAAGGACAAGTCTCCCGCGAGAGCCAAGATAAATATACATAACATTACTATTTTTCACTGATACACCGCATATACGATATTATGAAAGGCAGTAGAGGATTGAGATACTTTCCAGAAAAAACCGCCCTTTGAAAATTTATGCTTTATATAAACAAGATCTCAACTAGTGAGTAAGTGTATATAGCCTGTATGATGGAAACACACGAACGCACGCACAGATACGACGTCAGCGGTAATAACAAAAGAAACGTAAGTAATATATATTGTGACACTCAGGTTATTCTACTTATTTGCATGTATCTGGATGGGTACAATATGCAGTATCTACAATCACGCACACACACACACATGTTACATAACACGCATACATATATATATATATATACATATATAGTATCTAATGTGTTGTAAAGACATACAAAGCTAGGCATTGTTTGTTAACTTACCTTATGGTGTAACTAGGCTTTCCTTATATTCTTATAATTGTTGTTACTTTTGTAGAAAATTAGTGTCGGCTAATCACACGTACACCTCCTACTTCTTACACGCATTGTTACACTACCAATATACTTATTATTCGGAGCTACCGCACAAGACATGCGTATATATATATAACATATATCAGGCGTGCACACTGTACATACAGAGAGTGGTAACAAAAAGCGTAGACGAAAAAATTGTTATAATAGTGGACAATTCTTAAGTATCAAATAGGATGCCTCTTTTCTTTCTTTCCTTCTTTCACAAATATATATATCATACATACTGTAAGAAACAATTACAACTTTTAAACACTAAAAGTAAATGCCGCCCTCTATGAAATTAGTTCATTCATCACAGAATATATGAAGAGAGAGAGAAAAAAAGATATCATGCCTAATGATTATTATAGTGTGAATTGGCCTAGCTTTGGTGACTGGATGGAGAAAAGCAGAGAGGTTGTCAGTCTATGATATAACGCCGTATACGATGAAGGATATTTGTGCTAGGGTTAACATCATTTGGTACATTTGGTACAACTGCCTGGATGAGGTCTGAAAGGTAGTTTGAATCGATACCTTAGAACGTTATCAGATAATAACCAAGAATCGTAGTTGTCAATGGAGGGGAAAGTGTGCTGTGATTTCTTTCATTCTTCCCTTGCAGAAAGAGGTAACATGAAGTGATGAATGTTGAATGATCTTGACAAGTATATGCCTTGCTTGTTTTCTGGACGACGCCCCTCACTAATTCTCTCCCCCTGTTTTCTTTAATACAGATATACTTTCATTTTACTACTGCTGTATCTGTTATTATTGTCGTTTTTAGTTCCTAAAGGAACATATGGTTTCAGCAGAACGTCCCCATTGTGTTCAGTTCTCCGTCAACGTTTTCACCTAGCTCAACATCTGCCCACATGCTTTCATCTACTCCTCACATGACCACCCTCATGTCACCCTCGCACTGACGCCCAACTCGCTGCCTTCCCTTCGGGTTCTACTCGAGCAATGGCCTAATGTGTGATGTCACTTGATGGTTTGTTTTCTCAGAGTATGGTCAATCCACAACCATTTCTTCCTGAATACTTGTTGCACAATTCGTTTCTGATTGGTTCGCTCAAAGAGGTATCTCCCTGTTGCTGATCTATTCTGGCCGGCCATCTGATCTTCAGTAGTATTCACCAATGACAGCTGTTGATGAGGGTCTGTAGTTCGTTCACAGTGCCCTTCGTGACGCGGCTCAGCGCAGCGCCAAGTCTCTGATCCCTATAGTAGCACTGACTGGATTTCACATTGGAGTTGAAAATCCACACCTTATTTTCATGATGAGTGCTGTACATCTCCACACAGACTCGAGAGTAATGAAATCTTGACTTGCTTTCCCAATCCTCACCCTGATATACTCATCAGTTCCGTCCTCCTGTAGTTGAAACGATGCTTCCCAGGTAGGTACGTTCGTATGCCATTCAGTCACTGGGACCCAACTCAATGGCCTATGAATTCTAACTTTCACCAATTAGTGATTTTTGTGCCACCATCACAGCCAGTGCCATTTATTTGTGATTATTTTTTTCTCACTCCCGACCGGGATAGACCCCACCGGTCACTCATTAGCGAGCATCGGATTAATTTTCAAGAGTTAGTTTGTTAGGCTGGTGGTCATGTTAAAATCACGAATTAGCAGGAGCTGGAATTCATTAACCATTGGACTGGGGGTTTCCATGGCTGAATGGTACATACAAGTTTGACTTGTAACCGGACGCGGTCCTAGGTCTGAACTCCTAGTAAGCGCGTACTACTGAAGAATTAAAAAAACTGGGACGCGAAACAGCTATCCAATACTCTCTGGTTTTCCAATAGTTTTCTAAATGATGTCGGCCGGTGATCAAGCCTGTAAATGATTACTAGTATTATTATTATTATCATTGTTATTACAGCTACACTTCTGCCCCGGAAATAAACTCTGAGCATAATATAGAGACAAGGGGTGACAGATAACAGACTTCATTGGGGACTAAACAGAAAAGTAAAGTTAAAGGGGGTAAGTGAGGAGAAGAGAGGGAGAAAGAATATACAATGAAAGTCAAAAAGATATACACAGACATTGTAGTTACATTAACTTGAAAAAAAAGTTATAGGAAAACCAACAAGAAAAAAAATGGCAAAGTTAGTGAACAAAGTTAGAATGCTAGTTGTTAGTCTCAGCTACAAAAAAAAAAGATTAGTAACATACACATAAATATATACACAGCAAAATAAGCAAACAAACAAGTCGTAGCAATTGAAGATTTCAGAGAAATATCGATTAAAGCAGACAACAATAATGCATATACTCCCCTCTCTCTGACCTAGACTATATATGCAAATAATCTTCACAAGTTGAATATAATACACAGATTAGATAACAAATGGATAAAAGGAAGAAGATGATGAGCACTGATAAGCACGAAATAGTTTGTTTGCTTATTTGTTTGTTCTTTTTTCTCTGCCAGGAAGTAGAAGAGGATCAGATGGATATATATATATATATATATATTACTGTGATACGATGGAATACTGCTATACTGGTGATGATAATGAGTCTATTTACTCCCATTAGAGTAGTATTTCATCATATCATAATAAGTCTGTTCCCAATAGCTGCTGGCTTGACGTGATGGCCGGGATTGCATGTCCCAATAACTCAACACAAGCTACACTGGTTGAAAATAATGTTCCTGAAGGTCCCTACAATACCAGGGAGATTGTTAGGAATAGCGATTAGACTATCGGTATAGCAGTGTGGACAAAATCGTACTTTTGGGGAAAAGGGATGTAACAGCAGAAAGGTGTTTCCCTCAGATGAATAACATGCCAGTCAGCTATGCTGTCTCTCCACTCTGGAGAGAGAGAAGTTTAGAAAAGATCGACCAAAAAGACTGTACATCCTGACTAACCCTACGGTGGTGGTCTGTAGCCGGAGGTAAGTTACTATAATACGGAACCAAAGAAAAAAGCCAGTTCACACTGGTTGTGTGTGTGACCGGCCTTAAGCAATTTTCCCCTAGACTCTGCAGTCATGTGACACTAATTCTGTTTCTGTTTCAGGTACCCAAAGTCAGTCAGTCATTAAGTCTATTCAATATTGATACACATACTTAGTCGGAAAAGAGAACGAATACCATACGGCAAATAAGTATAGAAATTATTTATTTTTATTTCTTCGCGTTTTGAGTGGAACATAGGGTTACAAACATAGACGACATTGGAGTTTCAACAACAGTAATGTCACTTTTTAACGGGTTTCCAGCTTCACACACACCAAATCCTCTCTTTCTCTACTAAGTTTATGACTGGCTAAGAGAGGTATAGGAGTTTTTCGGCCGGGGGTCGAACCTAGGACCACGTGGAGTATGTTTGGTTGGCAAGTATTCTACTACTACTACTGAACAACCGGTGCACACAACTGCATAGACAGATGATGAAAGTAAACAACTTCAATTCAATGTTGTATGGCACCGCGGTTCGACTTATTCGTTAGTTAGTTAGAATTCAAGGACCATTGGATCGAGGCCCAGTGGCTCAATGGTCTACGAGCTCGCCTTGTAACCAGAAGGTCCTGGGTTCGAACCCTCTGCGGTGGGTGCGTAGTGATGAAGAGTCCTAAACTAGCACGAAACAGCTGTCCAGTACTCTCAGGTTTTCCAGTGGTTCTCTAACTGATGTCAGCTCATGATGAAATCCTCCACGCAATCAAACAAAATCCCTACAAAACCAATACTTGAAAATTATTCGTTTATAAATGAATAATTGCAGGTAATGGGATCCTACAAACACTCACATACACACATATGCGCATACACTTAAATATCTTGACTGAAAAGTATACAGCTGAAAAAATACTCTATCTATTATAGATAGATCATAAAACTCCATTCAGAAAATAGAAGTGAATATTAATTGAGCACAATAATCAGTCACAAATTTCTTTCGAATATGAGGCGATAAATTACAGACATCTTTCCTCAAGCGCTTTCAGGACAACCTGCATTCATCATTTATTATGAAACTGGTAAATGAAAGGTTTCCCAAAATGTCTGTAAAATATAGGTCAATAATTTATTAGGCGTTATTATTATTATTATTCCCATAAGGTTCCAAGTGGAACACAGGGCTCCATTTCATCCTCCTCTCTGCAGTCCTCTCTCTTTGACCAACTCCACGATTGCCCATGAGTTTTCATCTCACAGCCATGTCACCCTCGGACCCATACCCAACTCGTCGTCTTCTATTTGAGTTCCCTTTGTTTGAGAGATGGCCTGGCACACGAAGTCATTCAACGGTTTGTTCAAAGTGTATCCGCGATTTATCTCCATTTTCTTCGGCATATTTGGTTGGATTGAATTTAATTAATATTGAATCCTCCCTCATCTGAACTTAAGTTCCATATCAATAAATATTGTCTACTCTGGACAAAATCATCATTGTGTACGAATTAGTTACTGAACTGTAATATATAGATATCAATGACAAGAAGGAAATATTGATGGAAGTCTGTTGAAGGAATTTACTTTCGTTATTTATTTTATTCCTTTGGGTTTCACGTGGAACATAGGGCTTCAAGCTTTGAAGTTTCAGAAGCACTGATGATTTTTTACGGGTTGGGGTTGCAAGCCACCCACCCGACCTTTCCTCTTTGCCGCGCTTACAACCGGCTGATGATCGAACACCGGCCGGACCAAAGACTTACAGACTGCAAATTAAGTGACATAACACCCCCCACACGCCATCAAACAAACAAAAAAACAATTGATAATAATAACAGTACTTGGTCAGTACTTACCTCTCGGCATATCGATGCAATATGTCCTTCATCCATACACGTCTCGGTGACAACATCAGTCAGTGAACCACCGTCTAAATACTCCATTACAACCCATAATTCTTCGCCTTTTGATGATGAATTACCAGAGCTATGCGTTGATGAATTAAGACTATCATTATGATTTTGTTGATTTTTATGATTTGAACCATTCAGACTATTGTTAGCATTATTATTATTATGAGGATCCATACTGGAAGGGACTGATGTAGATACTAAATAACTATCAAGATAATTTACAATATTTGCTTGACGATTAGCCTTCATGACTAGAATTTCATTGATAATCAACTCCTTTTTAGGTTGTTGAGCTAAGTTCATTTGTTTAATAGCCACTAAATTACCAGTGGCTACTTCATATCCACTATATACAACACCAGATGCACTAAATACGGTAATAAAAGAAAGAAACACATAGAACAAAAGTGATGACATAATAACTAACATGTGTATGCATATATATATATATATATATATATATATATATATATATATATATAGTTGAATAATAATTTTAAAAGATTGAGTTTAGTGAACAAAGAATATTCTTTCCAATAACTTCTTCATCAGGTACTAATAGAGAATAAAGTATTCATGAATTCATAGGTTCTACAAAAGGCCAGAGTAGCAATAGTTGCTAGCTGGACTTGCTTCTTTTGCAAACGGAGCTCCGGTTGTTTTAAGAGTACTGCAATGATGACCTCTGCTACTTGGAGTATTCGGTATATCTAGAGTCCTTTGGTAATTTACTCAATACCCGATAGATGATAGAGAAAGACTCTTCAACAGGTGGTTTCGTGGCCTGTATTAACGAGGTAATCTATGATATAAGAGTGGTGGTGATGATGTTTTTAACAACGCCCTTATTTAGCCATACTGTGATAGGTGTTCACTGATCACGGAAAATTAAGTTCATGGTGTCTGACGATCACAATATAACTGGCTCCACACGAAGAGCAGTTGAAGTGATAGATATACACAATTAGAGGTGGTTGGCTAGCCTGCCTGGGTACTTCTCGTCTTTCAATTTCAGAATCACAACCGCTTGGTTCTGTGGAAAAGATACAGGTTGCAGCTTATCGGGGCATTAAACACTGTTGGTATATCACCTTTCCTTCGGAAACCGAGATTATTCAGATCAGGAGATGTCATCTATCTCATCGATATTGTGAATGACAATCAAGAAAGAAAGCATAAATATATATAACGCTATATACTATTGATTGATTGATTGATTGACATGATTAGTTGGATATCATTCACATCAACTTGTAGTGTTTTCTAGTCTGATTGAAGTGATCTAAACACTGGCTGGCCACGTTTCATCACTCATTTTTGCTGCAGACCTACCTCATATCAAAGATGTACTCTGACAGTCTAATCACAGAGTTCAAACCATCGGAATTTCGACTAACTACTTGACCGGAGGTTCGATCACTTAGATAAGACTAGTAAACACACACTATTGGTTGATGTAAGTGGTATCCAATTACTACTACTGATATCAATGAGTCAGTAGTATATAGCATAATGTATTATCTATTCACCTATGATATCATAGTAGGATACAGATTAAATATTATTTATTGTACATTAATTTCGCCAGTTATCTTTCAGTCAATCTATTATCTAGACTTACTCTGAACAACACAATATCATTATAAACTTTGACCTATTAAGTGTGACTCATAAATAAATATCAAATAGTATGCGGATGCCTTTTATGTTGTGTATGATAAGTTCATAATAAATTTATCACACAATTACCGAAGTAGACTTACCCTTGTCCAATCTTATCTACCATACGATATTTCTTATATGGATCACCTTTACTAACAATAGCTCTTAGTTTATCATGTACTTGTTGATCTGTTAATCGATGATTCCCTGTACGACGTCTTGGTGCACTTGGTGTAGTAGATTTTACAACATCTTCAACAGCTGTAGCAGCAGCAGCAGTAGCCGTAGTAGTAGTCGTAGCAGTGACAGCAACACCAGCAGTAGTAGTAGTAGTTGATGTTGTGTTAACAGTAGCAGTAGTAGAAGCAGTCACAGAAGGATCAACTTTTTTATAAAGTTGATGTGGTGCAGCAGAGTTGTTGACGAGTAAAGGCTGTATCTTGGCTTGTTGCTGCTGTTGTTGTTGTGTACGAAATACTTGAGTTAAGCCTTGTGGTTTTACAGGAACAGTTGGTGGAATCATTCGTTCAGAATTTATTGGTTGAGCTTTTACTGTTGCATTGTCTTTACCTAGAGAGGAAACATGTAAACAGTTAATGAATATATCTTGAGAAGAGACGCAGTAAATCAAGCGATCCTATAGACTACATAGCCTAAAATACTACACTTAAACAATCATGCATATATATTAATTTTATTATAGCTTGATTCCACACAGTACTTTTTGGTAGAAGTATGGAATTTTTAGCATGTGATATCCGTAGCCCAAATTTAGCAGGCCGACCATTGATATCAAGTGTAAGTCGGCAAGGGATCGAACCCCCGACCACGTGAACGGTCGGCGAGCGTTCTAACCGCTGTGCCATATATATATATATATATATATATATATATATATATATATACAACAATAGAATAGCTAACTAATCAATAAGTAAGCGGAAACAACACTTATATAGGACACTTTAGGGTAAGAGATGCTTTTTATAATAATGGCCAATTACGCAATTCACCTTAAAAGTAATGAACTCTAACGCTATCAAGTGATTTGGGTCATAAATTAGGTTGATCATATTACTATACATTGTGAACGACCTGGTACGGCTGACGGTGTGTAAACTTCGGTCTTCCACCCTAAATGCTCTCATATGGCCACGCGTTCATAGTATCTATTCACTGTCTTCAGACGGCTGGAGTTGTCTACACAAAAGTGAAAAGGAGAATTCGAAAGTCTGGCGTTTACAACCGTACTACTGGTGGATATTCAGGTCTACTTACCTGGGGGAGCTGGAAAACCCTGATACCAAACCAATAGTGTATATGGGCTTCAGAATGCGATTGAATCGAATGGCGTAAGAATCTGTACTGGTCACTAGGAACTAAGGAAACGCAGCTCCTAACGTTACTCCACTATCTTGTGGATCAAACTTCAAGTCAAAGGCTCGAGGGGTGGAGTGACCCATTAAAAGAACTACCTGCTTCGGTCTGGACGTTCAGGATGAGAGTATCCCAGCCATCTAACAAACTATGAAATTTTGTGTGGCGCATCACTTGGTGCCCATGTTTTAATAAAATAATAATGAATATTGTTAAAGTCGCATCACTCAGCCATGTGGCCATATTATAGACATAATGGATATACCTCACTTAAGTGAGCACTAAAGACTTATATATAAGGCGACACAGATTAACACAAACTCGGGTAAATAATTCCAGTACAACTTTTCTTTCCAAAAGCTTTTTACTCACCAGTATTTATAGTAGTTACATTCTCTGTAGTAGGTGAAGAATTTGTTCGATTTGAAGAAGTCATTCCACCATTTCGATTGTCAGCAATTTCGTTTATAATAGCATGTTCAGATTCCTAGAAAAAAAAATTTAATTTCAAGAATTATGTTGAATAATACTATTATTTTTAATGTATACTATGAATAACTAACTCAATGCTAATATTTAAGTACAAGCACGGATTACTTATTTTTGTCATGTGTTTGAATCAATCAAAATGTACAGACTGGAAAATATAACATATGAGAATTAACATGACACAATGCAGAGATAACTAGACTGGAAAAGTTACACACCATTCGGTCACCTAATATTATAGAATAATTGTTTTGATGAATATCCCTACTGAACGACCTAATTACAAATTGATACACTTATTTTATTGGTAGGAGGATTTTTCATCATGAGCTGACATCGGTTGGAGAACCATTGGAAAACCTGCAGAGAGTACTGGACTACTGTTTCGTCAGCCTAGTTTGGGACCCTTCAGAGGTACGCACCCACTGCCAAGGTTCGAACCCAGGACTTTCTGCTTACAAAGCGAGCTCGTAGACCATTAAGTCACTGGGACCCGATTCAATGGTCAGCCCATGAATTCGAACTTCTGCCAATTCACGACATAGCGCGACCACTTCGCAATGTCTTTTTCGATGAGTAACTGTCCTCACCTTTAACCTGCTGTACCTTAATGGTTACGGCATCCCACAAGAACCCCAGGTTAACTGCCTGAATAGGACCAGTCGCTGGTGAGCATGATATTAACTTTCAGGTATTCGTTTTGTAGGGATTTCGTTTGATTGGTTAGAGGAATTCATCATGAGCTGATATCATTCAGAGAACCGTTGAAATCCACCATGGAGTACTGGACAGTTGTTTCGTCCTAGTTTGGGACCCGTCAGCAGCACACCTCCAGAGGGTTCGAAACCGGGACTTTCCGGTTATCGTTGAGACACTTTTGTGTTACCCAAGGAAGTTTTGGTTAGTTGAACAGCGGAATACGAAGATTACCTCCCAGCGTTCAGACCACAACATATTGAGGTTTTCTTCCGCCACACCTAGTAAAGGTTGATAATAGTTACTCCCCTCCTAAACTGAGATGGTATAAAGCAGTAAAGTAAGAAGTCAGAGTAAGTTGTCTGAAAGGTGAGCTACTTAAACTACTCAGTTAAATTTTCAATGGAGCATGACATAAGGTTTACAAATCCATCATCTTCTTCTTAAACGTTAGTGGAAATTTGTTTTTAAAAAAAACTGAATGTAAACCTAGAAGAAGAAGAAGAAGCAGTCTTTAACCTCTTCAAGTTTAAAGCCATTAAGTGACCCAGTATCATTAGAAATGAGTGTTACTTTAACCTTATTAAAGAGCATTCTTCAGACCACCTAAAATATATCCTCATAACGACATCGTTGGAACTTATACACACACTGTAGCTAATGGATTTATGTTAATTGATGGATGGTGACTAGCAGTGGAATCCAGGATGCGCATTTCGTCCTGTTTGAGACTCGTCATCTGGATGTACCTGCATTCCGCAGTGAGTGACAGTGTTCCCACCGAGGCTCGAACCCAGTGCCCATAATTTCAAACGCCAAAGCGTTATCTACTAGACCACTTGAACCACAAGATGCGCAGTCTGGATCCCACTGCTAGTCACCTTCGACCAATTAACTTCTAATTACTTGCCCAGACATCGTCGAAGCATCTACACAAGAAGCCGACAGACATTTCAAAACCTAAGACCGAGCAATTCAGTCCAATCAATCGACGGGAAAAATCTAAAATTGAATTAATAAATAGACTTGTGTATTGTGTGTATAACAGCCGATACAGATAGAGTAATTTAGATAAAATTTGTGCAATAGCGATTAGTTATAATAAACCAGCAGATTTCCACCTTATAAAAAATATCACACAATAAAGGGATACTATTACTCTTTGCCCGTGTGTGTATGTTATCCTTCAACAGTTTCACAGTAGTAAACAACACTATGGTTAAATATCAACGTGTGTGTTACATCATTTCTAAGACGATCTTTATAATATGATTGTTTAGCATGACAATATTAAATTCATGAAGTTGACAGAGATAACTCTAAATAATTCAATCCAATCAACAGTAGGAAACTTACTTTTGACATTGTCATTGGTGTAGGTAAATTACTTCCAGTCTCACTGCTTGTCATCCATTCAACAGTGACTTGAGATGTAGTTATTTCATTATTGCTTAATTCACTTTGTTCATCAATTTCACTGTCCTCTTCTTCTTCTTCTTCCTCTTCAGCCTCGACTACTACACCTTCTTCATCGTCCTCTTCATCTTCCTCTTCGCCTTCCTCATCATCATCATCAGAAAATGTACCACCGACCATCATACACGATTCAGGAACCAATAAATCTTCCCGAGATTGAGGAGGAATTGAATTATTATTATTGTTATTAAATGATGAAGAAGCATGTCTTAATGTACCTTCTTCTTTAACACCACCAATATCAAAGTTATTATTATTTACAGAATTTTCAGAATATTCTAAATTTCTTATAACAGCTGTTGTTGCATGAGGTGGAACAGGCGGCGGTGGTGGAGACGACGATGATGAGGATGATGGATAAGATCCAAATGAACAACAATTATTATTATTATTATTGTTATTGTTATATGCTGAAGTTGACTGTGATGATGGTAGCATCATACTCGGTGGAAGTGCACTTGTTGGACTACTTCCACTACTACTATTTGTACCATTAATTAAATGTCCAACCATACTGATAGAATTTGCTAGACCAGATATGCTAACACTTCCACTAGCACCTGAACAGGATAGGGAACAACCGCTGCTACTGTAAAAAAAAAAAAAATTAAAAACTTTTACAATAAATGCTTGTCATAATTAATAAATATTTATATAATAAATAATGCAGATGGATAAGGTGATGAAGAAAGTCAGTTCATAAAAATAAGCTTATCATCGTTTGATGATAAGCAGGACGCTAACACATCTACTACACTTGGTATATTTAACAGCATTATCCGATTCAGTTTGACTGCAGCTGCGGAGCCAGCTACATTGGGTGTACAATTAGGCAGTTTCATCGTCGTATTTCTGAACATCATCCAGCGTGGTTAAGCAAGGGACAAACTAGATCTATTCGTAGCTCTATTTTAGCACACCTTGTAGATACTGAGCATAAGGTTGATGTTAATACTGCATTCAAAATTATTTATCGCATTCCAAGTAATCTTAACTTTGCTCTACGAGTTCGTCTTCTACAGACAGCTGAAGCAATCGGAATCCATCAGAAGAAACCAAGCCTATGTGTACAGAAGAAATTTGTACAGCCACTTTCCTTACCGTGGCCATCGTTACAAGACAGGACTACGTCGCCCCCCTCCCCCTATTAAATTATAATTGTCCAAATTATTTTATTTTTATTTTGACCACTTCATCTTTAATTACGTGTTATCCTTGTAAAATTAATTTATTCTATCCATTTCTACTTTTTAACTGTGTATTGATTTTCTTCGTTTATTATCAACCCATTGACATTTTGACACTGTTTAATTATTGTTAACAAACATATCGCCACGTGTTTGGTAAATTGTTGTGTATTGTAAAAAATGCTATATATATTAGAGTAGAGCCAGAGATGAGGATCTAATTGAAAAGTAAATATTTCTTCGCTCAATTTTTCTGTTTTCCAAATCCATGAAGTGATTAATCTTCATCAAGTTAGATAAAACTAGGACATACCTATCTTATGCGTACTAAACCAGTTTTTTCTTCAACGAATAGTGTGAGTGCTACCTGAAGCTGAATTAGGTTAGAAAAAATTGGTCGTAAGGCTAAAAAACATGGTGTCAATCTATGAAAGTTATTGACTGAGACAGACAGACAGGCAGGCAGACAGCTGTAAGTTATTTGATTGACGTCTTCAAAAAGCTAATGATCAATGATCAGGAAGTGCTGAACAGACGGAACGGATGAGGATGTTCAAAAACCAGAATTGAAAAGGCAGTAAATCATGCCTTCATCACTCTGAAATCAGTGTGGAAATCTTCTGCACTCCGATTAAACAACAAAATCCTGATTTTCAACATCGATGTCAAATCAATCGAAAACTTGGCAGGCATTTCCAAAAGGTTTTATTTAGACTTTTATCAACAGTTGATTTTCCTGACTCAATATTGAAAACCAGACGGCAGGCAAGAAGGAATTAGCACCAAGAAACTCTGCAAGTGAACCAACCAAGCAAGAACTCATCGCTCAACAAATATTCCGAAGAAAATGGTGATGGACCGGAAAGACGCTGGGGAGACCATTCAATGGCATCGCACGCCAGGCCATCTCACTCGAGTGGATCCCGAATGGGGTCGTCTGAGAGTGACATTGAGTGAGTGATCATGAGACGAAGAGGAGGATCCATTACTATATATCACTACTTCTATTTCTCTTCTTTTACGTGTGGTATTTTTTGAAGCATAAAACTTGGATTACTTAGCGTTTACATTGAATTTGATTCAACAACATGCTATTCGATTTTCCTACAATTCATTCAGCTGTACTATACTACTCTTAAACTGACAGACAAAAATGTTATCAACAGAGATTGTACACCTTCGGATTAATCAGAGAACTTATGCATGCGCTATTACACAGTTGTTGTTAATTATATAGAGACTCAATAGGTACATGACTGATATAAACTGGTATTGACATGTACTCAACGCCAGTAATAATTAATTCGTCAGTTATACAAATCAAGAGAAATGGATTAAATGTTCGGGAAATCGTTTGCTTTCTGATGTGATGAATAGTCCGTTGTCAGGAATTTTGTTTCTTCTTGGCCTTTTCTGCCTTTACTCTAAACGGTGTTGTGAAGAAAACGGCCTAGTACATTTTGATCCGTAAACTATAGTCGTCGAGTCCCATTATTCTGAATCATATCACACCAGGTTGTTTTGTGAAAAGTCTTAATTTAAGTAATAAGTTGTAGGTTGAATATCTTCAGATTACGGGATTTTTGCGGGGTGATTTGGACCAATTTTAATTTCAGTTAAATGGATTTCATCAAGAAGCATTAAAAACCACACAACACTGGACAGGACAGCTGTTTCGTTCAAATATACGAATATGAGTCGCCAGCTCATTGACAGCTACTAGATGGATTGTCCTGAAGCTTTTTATTGAATGAGAAGTCGTGACCAATGGCATCTATAATTACAGGATGAAGTAGGTGTTTATCGAAGGCATTCTTCGTTGAGGGCATCGCTATATCACGAGTTGAGAAAGTTAGAATTCATGGGTTATTGAATCCCAGCTTAGGTGGCCGAATAGTCAACAAGCTTGGTCTCGTAAGCTGAAAATCCTGGAGAATTGATCCCTGAAGCCGGTCGTGAGTGAGCAACGCCAGAGTCCCGAAATAGGGTGAAACAGCTGTTCAATACTTTCCACTGGCTTTCAATGACCTCTCGCGAACTCATGTTGGGTTTGTGACAAAATCTAACAATTGAAATTCAATTAATTAATCTTTATTGTAACTAATGAAGATTTAACCTACTATATATCATTGAAATTAAAAGGCAATAGTGGAAGCAATAAATATATATATAGGCTGACAACTCACCGACTACTACTTAGTCCACCCAGACTAACACCAGATGTAATTGGAAGAATAGGTACAGAAACTGCAGCATGACCATTATGATTATCACCAACAAAATTTGTATCTCTAGCATGACGACTATGATTAAGCAGTTGTCCATTTGTTAGAGTTCCTGAATTAGCTGATGATATCATAGAATTCGGTCCGGAACGTGCAATATCACCTGTATCACTAATACCTCTATGATTACCACCAAGTGAAGGTGACATTTCAGGTATTGTTGAACCACTTGCACGTCCACCACCAAATGCACGTGTTGGACTACCCAGAAATACTGCACCGCCTGTACTTGTTCTTCTTCCAGGACCTAATGGACATCCATGTGAATGACTTGAAGTTAATTCTACTAAACTTGCAGCACTTAAACCATTTGGAACACCACCGCTTACACCACGACCACCAACACTTCCACTATTCGTTGTACAACTACTACCACGACCACTGCTAGTGCTACCAGCACAAGAATGTGTAGTTGTTGGAAGTCCACTCGATGATATAGCCATTCCTGTTAAATTAGTTTCAGCCATTGACATAATCAAGTTTTCTTCACCTGAATTCGGTGGAGATATTGATGTTGTAGAATTAAATGCAGCTGATGGATAGGATGGTGAGTGCATACAGTTTATATCACAATGACTAGGAACCATTGGCATACTTTGTGATGAAACAGAACATGATCGAGAATTGGAATTCATTGATTCAACAGAACCAGATGAGTCTAGATGTTTGGAAAAAAAAGAAACAAGAAAATGTAAGTTTACAATATAATGTAATCCATAAGAAAACAGCAGAATAAACATTTTGCTTGTAGGGATCTGATTTGTTTATCGAGTTTGCCCACGGCATGATATCACTTAGAGAACCACTGAAGACCAAGGAGTACTGGACAGCTGTTTCATCCTAGTTCGGGACTCACCGGCAGTATGCACCCACCGATAGGGTCCGAACTCAGGACATCCCGGTTACAAGAAAAGGCCCAAGGCCATTCAGACACTGGGACTCAACTCAATGGCCCATGAATTCTAAATTCTACCAGCTGGTGATTTTTGCACAACCACCAACCAATCCCATCACAGGGTATTTGTCTTCACTCCCGACAAGGTAGACCCTATTGGTCACGACTTCTCACTAGAACTCCAGATAACTCCATTCTGCAGCCAGTCACTGCTAGCGAGCATTAGATTAATTATTAAGAGTTACTGAATGTTCAACGAGCTTGCTTTGCAACCGAAAGGTCCTGGGTTTAAAACCCGATGGGTGCAAACTGCCGATGAGTCCCAAACTAGGACGAATAAACATTTATTAGAAGAGTACAGTACAATCAGTGGATATTCAGTCATGGTTTTGCTTTATAGCACTTCATTGAAGAGGAAGAATAATCATAAAAGTAAAAGATGGATTATTGCTACAAACAGAAAAAAATTCAAAATATCTTTATCTTTTAAAAAAAAACCTTACACTGAAAATGTACGTGGTTCATAATGGACATGAAAAAACAACACAACAAGAATTGGCAAAAAAGACAGACTAAAGGAAGGATAAAACTAAGAAGTATTATTGATACATCCTACATGTTAGGCATGTGTGTTATATAGGCTACCTTTTTCAAATACACATCAAAAATTCAAACAAACAAAAAGTGAACTAGAATTTGGACACCACTCTAATCATATCTCCTGTAAATGTATGTCAGATAAGGGTAGCCAAATGGCATCATCACCTTACAACTAAGCATGCAAGCAAATGGTGCAATCCCTTTCTATTGAACTATTAGGCTATTAATAGTTAGATTTTCGTCACGAATCATCAACATAAGTTCACGAGAGCACTAGACAGCTGTTCCACCCTGTTTTGGGACTTTTCTGCGATGCGCATTCACGACCCACACTTCAGAGATCGAACCTCCAGGACCAACATCGTTGGCCATTCAGCTACTTGGGCCATATAACTCAGTGATCCATGATAGAGACATCTACATTTCCTAAACTAAAGTCAAGTCAGCGTCTTGGAACACGCATCACACGAAAACCATTTCTAAAAGTCCCCTACAATCTTTTATCAACAGAGGTCTTCATTGGCTCCATCTTGGATATCAGATGGACCAGTCAGAAAGGATAAGTGATAAGGAACTCTGTCAGGCATTGAGGAACATATCGCCCCCCCCCAAAAAAATCCGAAGGAAATGAAGATGGATAAGGCACACGCTGAGAAGACCGTTGAGTGATGTCACTCTTTAGGGAAACGGCAAGTTGGATGTGTGTCGGATGGTGAGCTTATGGGCAGTTGTGGGACCAGCTATAAGGGCTGCAGAGAACCGGATGGAATCGAGATGTATTACTGAAGTCCTGTGTCTCACTAAGAATCCAGAGGAATGATAATATAATGATAATAATAATAGTAACAATAGATTTAATAATAATTACAACCGTTCATTTCAACTATATTATTAATAATTAACAATTTTGAGGCATATATTGAGTGAGTTATCACCGTAGTAATTTGCACAAAGTTGCAGTAGTTCACCCTGCTACACACACTTCATGAAGAAAGCATATACAAACAATACAGGAAAGAAAGATGTAAGGAAACCATAAGAAATGAAGATATCCAGAAGAAAGAATTTTTAATAGATCTACGAGATCACGAAGAGTGAATGCATCTGTAACCACTGAGAACGATTTGGGGCCATGTTATCCAGCAATCTTCTTCAATCATTGGTTCTTTATGTCCCTATGACTCCAAACCAGACAATCTACACCTCCTCTCTCTCTCGCTATGAGATTCAAAGCAACCGTCTTCTTGTGTATCGAATAGATGCAAATGGATATGAAGATAAAGTATCCATTAAATCAAAATCATCTCGCTTCATCACTATATAACAGGATGACTAAAATAATAGTAGTTATTATTTATTTTATTCCTTTGAATTCTCAGTGGAATGCAGGACTCCAAACTACAACTTTGAAGTGTCAGTGTAGTAGCGGTGTAACACTTTTTTGGGGGGATACAATTGCTAGCCTCACATCCTACCATCTTCCCTCTTTACCAGGCGGCTTACTACCGGTTCAGGCGATGTTAAGAAGCAGCGTGTCGGCCAGTAGGTAATCGAACACCGAACCAGCTAAGGCATGGGTTAGCCAGTGTTCTAGGCATTGAACCACTCGACGACGTCAGAACACATATCAGAGGTGGGGGATAGTAAGTAACATAAGTAATTAATCTTGTCAAACAATAGTTATATTATTACTATTATTATTACTGAAACAAAAGACATTGATTTCTATGTGTAAACACACAACCTACTTGTAAGAACAGATACATTTGTCATATATTTATCTTTGTGTTTAGCTGATTCATCAAAACACTGAAGTACACCGAGAAGAATTTCTGGATTTTTCTCTTGTTCTGTACGCGGGATATTTGATGCTGTTAAAAGCATTTGCCATGATGCTGGGAGACCCTAGAGGGGATAAAAATAATAAATCAAAAATACGTATATAATAATAATAAATGAAGAAGTCAAATAACTATTACTCTATAATAATTGGTACACATACATGTATTGTGCGTATGTATGCGCAATAATTAACAGTCTACAAATGATAAACATACATACAAACACACACATACGCCTACATACATACATACAAACACATGAACTCAGGGCTAAACAAAAATAAACAAACAAACAATATCATTAGAAGAAAGAGAAGTATTACAAGAAAGAGTACGACATGATACAAAGGAAACTGTAAACTACTAAATCAATAAGTGTAAATATTAGCTAGCCGTAACGGCAATTATGACAGATATCTGTACTACTACTACTATTCATAGTCACAAACACACACACACACACAGAGTACATACACAAAGAAAATAATTTAGCAATGGATAAAGACTGAGATTGGAAGCATATTTACATTGAGGGGAGGGGGGGGGGGAGGGAAAAATTGCATGAATGTTAATCACTAACAAAACTTCATGATGTTTATCCAGTTACATATTTTCATTGTATACACATATGCGCGCATATATGATATGTACTTTGCATAAATGGACACAAAAATGACGAGGTATAATTTTAGGACGCCGAATGACATTCAGAAAATCAGACATAGACAATAAACAAAGAAGGGATAGAGCATGTTAAGTGCCTAATATTAACTGAGATGTATGTGGAAAAAAAAAGATGCGACATAGTAGAAAGTTAGTAGGTTGTTGAATCTATCGTTTTTTTTAAGTATTGGTTTTTGTAGGGATTTTTGTTTAATTGGTTGGAAGATTTCATCATAAGGTGACATCAGTTAGAGAACTATTGGAAAATCTGCAGGGAGTACTGGACAGCTATTTCGCCCTAGTTTGGGGTTCTTCAGCAGTACACAGAAGTTAGAATTCAAGGGCCAGTGGACCAGGTCGCAGTGGCTTATTGGTCTATGGGCTCGTCTTTTAACCAGAAGGTCCAGGGTTCGAACCTTCTGTGATGGGTGCGTACTGTTGAATAGTCACAAACAAGGTTGACGAAACAGTGGTTCTCTAACTGATGTCAACTCATGATGTAATCCTCCGATAAATCTATCGTTATTATAGGCATAATCTCGTGCATTTTACAGAGAATGTAAGAATGAACACATCTTCGTTCATACCGATATTAATTAAGTAGGAGAAGGTGTTTACTGATTTAATTGTTTCCTGTTATAAATATAAGTAGTAAATATATACATATACTGCTTCTTATTGCATTCCCATTATGATTATTATTGGGATGTGAGACTTGAAGGTTATTCACACTTTGGCAGTTAAATAACAGTCAACATACACACTAGACTAGACTAGATATCATCGTTTGATATTGCATAGTTTTATGTAATTGCTTCCTGTTTACAGTTCTCAACTGTTATCATTGCCTATTGGACTACACATCTATCAAAATACGTGTTCCATGAAAACATTAAAAGTAAATTTCCAAGTTAAATTTAATGTCCAATAATAAATAGTAGATTATTATAAATAGTGCTTGTATGTCAGTAGTTCAATGGTGAAATGCATGCCAATCACACGTGAGTGGTCCAGAGTTCAACCCACCAACACCACCACCACCATGAGCAGCAGCCAACGTATTCATAAACTTCGCTTAGTTTATTAACCGACAGTTAGCCTGGAATAGATGGAAGGTTGGACATGAATTTAACAATCCTATCCTATAAAAACACCACCATTTACTAGTAAGTATAACTCCAACTTCTACCTATAATAATACATGAATGCATGTTTGTTTGTAAATTATTCACATATGACGTATTTATCTAATAACTTAGGAAAATAGTAGGTTTATAGAGAGAGAGAGAAAGTGAATAGAGAAATGCACTGAAGCTTGATAATGTCAACAAAAGTGTATATAGGAAATGTATGCGTAAAAGTATTTAACTTTTAACTGGATTTTATTTATACATTTTATGCTAGAGGAAAACTGAAGTATTTTTTTACCACAGTATATCATTACATGGGTGTCAGTAGCACAGAGGTAGAATGCTCGCCAATCATGCCTCATGTGGTTCGAGGTTTGATCCCCGGCCACGGACGCACTCTTTCACCTCTCTAAGTAGGTAATAAGACTGATAAAGAGGGGAGGTTGGGCATGAGACTAGTAATCCCGCCACCTCACAAAAATAAACCCCACTGCTACCAAAACTTCAAGCCTCTGATTTGAAGCCTGATGTTCCGATAGGAACGCAAAGGAATCGAAAGAAAAGATATCATTACGCAATGGACAAACAATAAAGAATAAAGGCAATGGAGTGAGAACGCACTAACTGCCTTGAACGCATACCATTTGTTGGATTACAGAACCTGACGTTTAGTCTATATAAAAAGCTGTTTATTTACGGGAAAAATTAATAATAATAATAATAATAATAATAATAATAATAATAATAATAATGAAACAGATGAAAGGCGATATTTTACTCTAGCGTAACTGAAAAATATTTCCCAATTAAATAAAGAAGGGTATCAGTTTTCAAGTATCATAGCTATCGAAACGGTTTCATCTGTATGAACAAGGGAATACTGTCCTTCTATATATATATATATATATATATATATATATATATATATATATATATAATAAAACACCCTAACACTTACCTCAACCCTAACGCGTAATCAATTTATTGTCCAAACAGTAATTAAAAAGGAGATCGGGGTGAAATTTGCACCTCGATTCGTGTACAGCGTTCACATACTGGACGCTGTAATAATGACAGGTCCTGTAATCCAACGAATGATATGTGTCCAAGTTCAAATTGGTGCGCGTTTTGCACATCATGGTGACATAAAATAATCATATAGTCAAACTGTAAATATCAAGAAATTTCTCTTTTTTTTTAGTTTCCTGTGATTGTTGTCACATTCACATATCTGCTGGAACATCAATATCATAATCAATATTAATCAGTAATTCACCTCATCGGTTGTGTCTGATAGTTGTGTTGACCTGCAACTTTACTTATAAAACCTTAATGAAGAATTGAAACAGGCTGATGATGTGTTGTAAACTCAAAAAGAAATGAAAGCTAAAGCTTGTATACAGGTAAAACAAAACTATTAAGGTGACTCTAAACTATAGAGCAACCCAAAACGAAACTACCTCTAGCAACCAATCACATTCGTAAGAGGTAGAAGTACGCAATTTGAAATAAACGCCTATACACAAGTAATGCAATGTTAAGAAATGGTTACATAGGATAATGTTCTTGTATTTGTTCCAAAAACGAAATCTCCTAGTTTCTCACAGAAGTCCTTATAGTCAGGCCATCAATTCGTTCATTAGGTAGTGTCGTTTTGGGCTGCTATAGCTTAGAGTCACCACTATTAAATCGTGTTTTCATGTATTGATTTCCAAGGAGCTGCATTATTTCAAATGACATCAGTTGGAGAACCAGTATAGTTGAATGATCAACCAACTCGTAACATGATGATCCTAGGTTCGATCTCTGTTATGTATGCCAGCTGGCTGGCTATGACTGCATGTTGATAAGGAGTCCCCAAACTAGGACAAAATAGCCATCCAGTAACAGTCTCTGGTTATAAGTACTTGGTCTAACTAACCTTAGCTTTTGGACAGTAAACTATGCTAGTAAGGCTAAACTCTTTCTAACCTGAATTACGCGCTAATTCTCAGTGGATTTTCGATACGATTACTGTACATAAAATAATGTTAACAAAAATAGTAAGTAGTAGTATAAACACTGACTACTACTACTACTACTACCTAGCTAGTATATAAGAATAAATCATTCAGCCTACTACATAAATTATTAGTTAGTATTAGTGTGTACAAGGCATAATACGAATGATGAATCATATGTCAAAATTTTAGACTGAAACATTTTTCACTCTCTCTATCTCGCGCGCGCGCTTTCTCTCTGTATTGAGAAAAAAAGACTTCAGATGAATGAGTCACTCGCTATTTTTCTTCTTTCTTCATAAAAGTGAAATAAAAAGACACTAAGGAAAGAGAAGAAGAAGCAAGGGGAATAAGGTAGAGAGAAACGAAAAAAATACTGACGGAGAGAGAAAGAGAAAAACAGAGAAATAAAGTGCATAAAATTGAATTAAGGCAGTATGAATAAAGCACGAAAATACTTTCTCTCTCTCACAACATACACACACTTTCAGACAAACTTTCAATATATTTCAAAAAGAAAATTATTTTCCGCCTACAAACTTTGTGAAATTTTTCTCTCCTATGAAATATCATGAAATGAAGGATGAAAAGCATGTTAAGAACAACACCAACAACAACTGTGGAAACCGCAAAAAGGTAGAATCACAAAACGTGTGACATATATATATGTATATTAAGAAAAGGGCTGAGATTTTTACTTCATTGATAATGGAACAATCAACGATCTTGGCCTCATATCCTGAAGGTCGCAAGTTCGATCCCTGAAGGATTCATAGTTGGCTGAAGAGTCCCAAACTAGGATAAGACAGCCGTCCAGTATTCCCTGGGGGAGGGGGGTTTCAATGGTTCGCTAACAGATTTCAATCCATGATCGAACTTGAAACAAATCAATAAAATCCCTGCAAACTAAGTCTTGAAAATTAATCTGATGCACGCCAGTGACTGACTGACTCTACAGGGCGAAGTTGACAGGAGAGTTCCAGTGAGAAGTCGTAACCAGCAAGGTCGACCAATTCATCGAGTGTCAGGGCTGGCGGTCACGCTGAAATTTAGAATTTGCGAGTTTCTGAATTTCAGCCCAAGTGGCTGAATAGTCAACGAGCTTCGCTTCATTACCTGAATGAAGGCGCCGGGCTTGATCCCTGTCAACGCATTCTTAGATCTTGTTTAATTTCATTATCAAATAGTTAATCCAGAAAAGAGAGGAGGTTGCATGTGAGGCTAGCGACCCCACCTACTGAAAACAACACTAAGGTTACTGAAGCTTCAAG